AGATCATTATCCTTTTATTAAACTTTTTTTCTTTATAGGGTTTACGTTTTAAGAAAGCACATGTAACTCATCCGGAACTTAAAGCCACATTCTGCCTTCCTATTCTTGGAGTAAAGAAGAACCCATCATCTCCTCTTTACACATCTCTTGGTGTCATTACAAAGGGTACAGTCATTGAAGTCAATGTGAGTGAGCTCGGTCTGGTCACACAAGGAGGCAAAGTTATTTGGGGTAAGATTTAAACTCTTCATTCTGTATTATAAAACTATAAGACAGCTATGCTACACTCTTCACTGGAGTTAATTCTGCTTATGTTTAATAACTGATTCTGTGGTGACTGGATACAATAGCAATCCTTCCTTCCTATATTAGATTTTATTTCTCTCCTTTTGATTTACTTCTGCTAAATTACATACTCATTGATTTCATTGGGAATTGCAAGTTGGCAGATCTGGTTGCACACGAGAAGGTGCTCAGAGCCATCTGTCATTCCTTTTTCTTATTTGGATGCTTGAGTTTACCTTAAAACTTGGAACCGTGCAGGTTCCTTTACAGTGCAGTAGAAGGAGCTTTTATAAGAAGCCACAATGGATAAATATGTTTTCATCTGTGTGCAAAAATATTAGTTTGTTTCAATTGCTATATGACTTTATCTATGGATTGTGTGAAGTACAAAAACGGATTGCTGTGTCTGCTATGATCACTATGTAAATTTGTACGGACAATGAGAAATTACTGTAATTTTTGGTTTAAGCTTGTTTGGCTGCAGTTTAAATATTAAGATATTTATTTTTTTGTTACAGGAAAGTATGCACAAGTAACGAATAATCCTGAGAATGATGGCTGCATTAATGCAGTATTGCTTGTGTAATGATGACTATGACTATTCAACACCTACGGGGGGGAAATAAGGACTTTGATGTAAGATGTATCATCAGAAGTTATGCACCATTTGGTAAAACTGTGGATTGCAGAATAATAAAGTTTATTTTGTATTTATGAAGTGGGTGTTTTTATTTTAATGTCTGGAAATTCTGTAAACCCTTAAAGCAATTTTCTACTGTATGATGAAGTGAGTTGCAAAGATTTTTTATTTTTTTTATTTTTTGTGGCCAGCGTCCCAGATGGGTACCTCCTCCCTCTTGGCTAACAGGACAGGAAGCACAGATTATAAAAGGAACATTCTACCTTGGACCCCAGTCTTGTTCTGTCCTCTTGGCTACTGGGCAATTCTATAGCCCTGGGCTATAATCTTTTTGGTTTTTAGTTATTAGTATTTCTAGTTCACTTATGTTAATCTGGCTAATTAAGCAAACGCTTTATTAAAGGGACACTATAGTCACCTGAACAACTTATGCTTAATGAAGCAGTTTTGGTGTATAGAACATGCCCCTGCAGCCTCACTGCTCAATCCTCTGCCATTTAGGAGTTAAATCCCTTTGTTTATGAACCCTAGTCACACCTCCCTGCATGTGACCTGCACAGCCTTCCATAAACACTTCCTGTAAAGAGAGACCTATTTAGGTTTTCTTTATTGCAAGTTCTGTTTAATTAAGACTTTCTTATCCCCTGCTATGTTAATAGCTTGCTAGACCCTGCAAGAGCCTCCTGTATGTGATTAAAGTTCAATTTAGAGATTGAGATACAATTATTTAAGGTAAATTACATCTGTTTGAAAGTGAAACCAGTTTTTTTTTTGTTTTTTTTTTCATGCAAGCTCTGTAAATCATAGCCAGGGGAGGTGTGGCTAGGGCTGCATAAACAGAAACAAAGTGATTTAACTCCTAAATGACAGTGAATTGAGCAGGGGAATGATCTATACACTAAAACTGCTTTATTTAGCTAAAGTAATTTAGGTGACTATAGTGTTCCTTTAACTGTGACTTTAATATTGGTAAGTCCCCAGTATGAAGCTCCTTGGGGAATGAGCAAATTATAACCTGGTACGAGTTCATGTTTAGGCTTTCAATAAAAGCGTTCTGGTTATATGATCATTACTCTTATTGCTAAATGGAAGTTCCAATTACTTGGCCTGACAAATGTTAGGTATTTTCCCACATATGTCCTTTGGGTTGCCTGATCCTTATAGTGTCCAATCAGCAGCCTGTATGTGGCAGTCAATGGTGGATGCTCTCCTTCTGGCTCAGAAGCGGAAGTCCCCATCACACATGTCTGTAGCATGCGGCGACACAGAGCATGGCCGACTGATGTCAGAGCGTCTTACAAAGAGAGAATAGGGGCCCAGGAGACATGGTTGAATGTCCATTGCTTGTGGAATCAAGTGGATGGAATTCAACCCGCAGTTTTTTCTTATACAGGGAGATCAAGATTTGTGAACCCTTCTCTGTTTCACTCTCTCCCCTGGTGTTGCAGGTAAAGCACTGTATTTGTTTTAAAACTCCACTGTGTCTTTTTTTGACGTGACAGATTTGTTTTTCCAGAGAAAGGATTGGGGGCACACCTGAGACCTGCATTTTGCATGAAAGGTGCTGCCGCAGTGACCAAACTTCATACATGAAATCAAATAGTTGCGGCACACTCAGACTACAAAAATACAACATGAAGAATGTTTCTAAATTGCCTATCTAAGAATAAATATGGGGATTTAGTTCCACCATATGGCCATATGATGTTAAGCCCACCACTGCTTTCAAAGTACCCCAATGTTGGTGGGTCCTACACTAAAATGTGGGGGACAAATTAAATAGTACTTGTGTTAAAAATAAAGTGTATTATTAAATCCTTGTTAGAGCAAGTGAGTATACAAAAATAAAGTGATGAAAGCAATTAAAACCAGTGTTAAAACTAAACAATTAAAGTGGTAGTGCTAGAATGAATATACTCACTATTGCAGATGATATCTGTGTTGAATGGAGAAAATAATAAAAGTGATCTGACTATTGAAAACTCCTATATACACACATGTGGCCACCTCTTGGGGTGCCTGGGTGGGGTGCTTAACTCTAAAGGAATCTGGTCTGAATTCCAAATATACTGTGTACAGAGAGGATTTTCAATAGTCAGGTCACTTTTATTTAATGTGGAGAGTCAGCTATAGGCTACCTTAAGACACTATAGGCACTAAAACAACTTTCTCTTTAATATAATATTTATGGTGTATAGGTCATGCCCATGGAATCTAACTACTTAATTCTCTGCCATTTAGGAGTAACATTCTCTTTAATTTAGAATGTATCTCCTGCTCTGTTAATAGTCTGCTAGATCCTATATGAGCCTCTTGTGTGTGCTTAAAGTTTAATTAACAGAGCAGGAGATAAAAAACTGCTGTAGTAAACACACTGTGCTGTCACATCTAATTCTAAATGAAACAACATTTTCAGGTTGGCTGTGTGAGTCACAGCAATGGGAGGTATGGCTATGGCTGCATTAACAGAACCACAAGTGATTTAAAAGCAGATAATTGAGCTGTGAGACTGCAGGGGCAAGATCTGTAGACCAAAACTGCATCATTAAGCTGAAGTTGTTTTGGTATTTAGTGTGCCTTTCATGTTCCATCACAAGTCCTCCTGCTAGGTGGGGGTTGCTCACAGATGTTCATGAAACCAATTTAAAATGTATTTAAAATGTATGACTAAACTTGACATCCCACATGATCCACCATGTTATGGGAATAAAAAAAAAAAGTTACTTGCTATCAAGATACAGTATATTAATTAAATTAATTATGTTTGTTTTTATTCCATCTATCATTATAGCACACACTATCTGTGATCTTATTAAGAACAGATCCACTTATAGAATTATGAAAACATGTATTATATTATTTATTGGTAGTGATTGGGGATCACGCTGTTGTTTTTCAACCACAAAAGAACGTATACAAAATACAGAAACCTTACAAAAATGTGTTAACACTTCAAGTAAATTTCTGGGAGTGAGCAAACTGGGTTCCAGTTAGTTACAAAGTAGGATACAGACTATCTGCAGGTTAGCAAGTCTCACACCATGTAGCACAGGTTTAAAAATGACACATAGGGATTTATTGTTGATCAAAAATCGAACTACAAGATTTAGGCTAAGGTGGCCAAAGGAATTTTTTTTTAAAACGTTTTTGCCTAAATTCTGATCGGATTTAAGTTGGCTATAATTTGATGTTTCATTAAGAAATACAAAGCATATCACCCAATTAAAGGACTACTATAGGCACCCAGACCACTTCAGCTTAATGAAGTGGTCTGGGTGCCATCTAGGATTAACCCTGCCTGCTGTAAACATAGCAGTTTCAGAGAAACTGCTATGTTTACAAATGGGTTAATCCAGCCTCTAGTGGCTGTCTCATTGACAGCCGCAAGAGGCGCTTCCGCGATTCTCACTGATTTTCACAGTGAGAAGACGCCAGCGTCCATAGGAAAGCATTGAGAATGCTTTCCTATGCACTGGCTGAATGCGCGCATGCGCATTCAGCCGATGACGGCCAGAGGAGGAGGAGAGTCCCCAGCGCCGAGAGAGAACGGCACTGGAGAAAGGTGTGTTTTTAATCCTCTTCATTCAGCCCGGCAGGAGTGGGACCCTGAGGGTGGGGGCACTATAGTGGTCCTTTAAACCTGGCATTGCTTAAGGTAAGTTACGGAAAATTGTACAGATCAGGAGTGGGACCCTGAGGGTGGGGGCACTATAGTGGTCCTTTAAACCTGGCATTGCTGAAGGTAAGTTACGGAAAATTGTACAGATCTGCCGAGCCATTTGACACTTTCATCATCTCACACATTCCGCAACACATCTACTGCAAAAGTATGAAAAACACAAACATTTTAAAAGCAAATCTAAAAACATTTGTTTAATTAAACTGTAGATTTAAAATAACACTATTAACATCATACCTCTATAACATATCTTATAGAAATATGGAAAAATTAAACCATAATATTTATGTACTTTTCTAAGTAAAACAAAAAAAAAATGATTTTTTTTCATGTAATGAGGAATATCATCCATAATAAACGGTTCTGTCAAAGTTGAAGTGGCTCTCTTAATATAAATGTTATTTGCACTGTAATATAGAATGTTAAATACTGTCCAAAACTTTGTTGTTTATTTAAAGATGTTTGCTATTTTTTAATAACACTGAATAAAATATTTATAGCAATATGGACTTCCATATGGCACTCAAAAGTATTAGGTAATTGAACCAAAATTATCTTCTTCCCTGTTCAAGTATAATGCTAAGTGCTAAGCAGATCATCTGTCAAAACCTCAGGTCCTTATTGACTATGTCTTAGCACATACTTTACGTAACAGCAACGGTCACAAAGATTTCGGAAATTATTTTGCAAATCCAAGATGGCTACCTCCATGATGAGATAAAATTCCCAGATCATTATACAGTTATTACAGATATACGTTATTTGAACTGAGTTATGCAAAGACAATTTCAAACGACAATTCCACATTCAATGGAACAGATAACTGTAAATATATCCCTCTTCAATATAGAAACAACATTTCTCTACAAAGTGGAGCATTATGACTTTTCATTTTCAAAACCTGCCCAAAATAGTTTTTGACATATAAATTGAAATATGTCTAATTCGTGGCAACGTCAAGCCCTGATTTCCACTGATATTTATGGCTGACTCATTTTCTGAAAAATGCAATATCAGCGAACTTACTGCTTACAAATGATTGTGACGGTCAGTAGGTAAAATGTTTGTATTCTGCTTGTAAATTACCAGAAAAGTAGCTTTCTTAAATACAAATAGCGCATATTTTAGTGTGCGTACTTATACAGTGTGCCCACCTACTGACAAACTTTGTAGTCACAAAAACCTTTCAATATTCTTGCAGAAAGTAATAGGAGATGCGATAACTTTCAAATAATTTTCTCTGAGAATGGAGGCTATATCCACAGGGTTCCAATAGATAGCGTTACAGCAGTGAAATGATAACTGTCAAACTAGAGTTACAGTTCTGAAAGAGCTGCTGAGCAACCTGATGGCTACCCCTGCTTCAAGTCTTATACTTAGAACAGACCACTCACATTATCAGTTTGATCGGTAGTTGTGCTATAGGCTTGTTTAGTCTGTATAACGGGTAGATTGGGAATATGGGTAAACTCACAGAAACAGAAACACACAAACCAAAGAACCACAAAAAGAGCATTTAACATCAACCAGAAAACTTTAAAATTGTACAATTACAAATGCCTGTGACCTATACCGAATAAATTCTTAGAACTTTTTAAAAAATTCTAGATCATTCTGTTTTACAAATAGTGTGAATAACAATCAATCAATGCTTCTAAACTGATAATTTGGTTCTTCTCTTTGCAGGTCCTTTGATCCCCCTTGCCTTTCTGCGCAAACCCCTTCTCTCTATTACTGGGGTCTCTGTTTCTGCTTCCTCAGAGCTACTTTCTCCACCAATCTCCACCGATTTTTGTGCTGAAACATCTGACTGATCCGTCTCCACAGTTGATTCTCCAGAATGGCTCTTTTGTACATCTGATTGTTGGAAAGCTACATCTTCAAGTTCCACCACAAGTAAAGGGCCTTGCCGAAGAACTGGCAGTGCTTCCTCTGTGACGTTAATGACTGGCTCTCCTTGGGGGCCTGTATACAAGGCTGACATATCATCAGATGTGGTGTCTGCAGTTTGAGTTGGCTCAAAAGTGGTAAGACCGTTGTCAGAGAAGTCTCCACTTTGCACTGGGACAGTCTTTTCTGTGCCTTTGACCTCTAAACTCTCTCTAAAGTCATCTTCTCTCACGTCTGTGTTCACCATTCCAGCTGTCATGGTTCTATGTTCTGAAGTTTCCATCTCTTCTGTATTTAGAACCTGTGATAAAAAAAATGAAAGAAATTCCAGTTACCTCTCTGTGCAGCACAAATGTCTCATTACGCAACTAATCGTACATTGAAGAACCAACCAGCGGCCAAGAAACTGCCACAATCCTGATGTGAAATATGCTTACATTGTCACGGACACATTGTCTTAAAGGGATACTCTAGGCATTAAAACACCCTTAGCTTAATGAAGCAGTTTGGGTGTATAAATCTGCAGTCTCACTGCTGAATTATCTACCATTTAGGCATTAAATCAATTTTGTTCCTGTTTATGTAGCCCTAGCCACACCTCCCTGGCTGTGACTCACACAACCTGCATGAAAAAAAATAGTTTGAGTTTCAATCCGATGTTAACTTACTTTAGACATTTTTATATCCAGTTCGGTAAATTTTATTTTAATCACACAAATGAAGCTCCTGCATGGTCTAGCAAGCTATTATCAGAGCAGGAGATGATGATTTCTAAATTAAAATGTATGTGCAAGAAAGGAGATTTAGACATTAGATCTCTTTTTACATGAACTGTTTAAGAAGTCACATGCAGGGAGGTGTGATTTAGGCTTAAATGGCAGAGAATTGAACAGTAAGCCTGCAAGGGTATGATCTATACACCAAAACTACTTCTTTTAAACTAAATTATTATTATTGAAAATCAGCTTTAGTGAAAACATTTACAGACTTTAAGCTATTTGGAGTAAACAAATCAAACAAAAGCAATTTAAATAGCTCAACACAACGAGCGCACCAAGTGGTTTCCCCACAGTCAAGTAAAAATGCAACTTATAATGACTTCTCTAGTCTCAAAATTATTCAACCCCCAGAATAGAATTCCTCACAACAGCACAAATATGCAAACCATGTGTCTCAAGCACGCCTGATTCAACTAATCAAGGGCATCATTACTTGCACCAGGTGTGCTTAAGCTGGAACACATGAAATACCTGAACTGGCTAGGGGTTTGTTGAATGTCACGTTTGACTTTATGTTAGAAATATGGTCAAAATTCAAAAGAATGGTCCATAAAGTTAAGAGAAGAGATCATAACCCTTCACAAACAAAGAACAGGATACAAAAAGATAGCGAAGGCAATGAATGTACCGTTTGAGGCATAGTTCGCAAGTTCAAAGTTAAAGGAACAGTGGTTACACTACCTGGAGGAGGCACAAAAAGGAAGCTATCAATAGCTGAAACCAGATTTCTGAGAAGGCAGGTTGTGAAAAACTCTCAAATGATCTGCAGCAAGACCTCATGGCAACAGGCACTTAGGTTTCAGTGAGCACAGTAAGGCGCTTACTAAACGCAAAAGGTTTCCATGCCAGAACTCCAAGACGTACATCACTATTGACCCAAAAGCACAATAAATCATATAAACAAGCCACAGAAGTTTTAGGATTCTGTTCTGTGGAGTGATGAAACAAAACTGGAACTTTTCCGTCCAATGGATCAACAGTATGTTTGGAGGAAGAATGAAGCATACGCTGAAAAGACTAATCTGTCTACAGTTAAGCATTGTGGTGGCTCGGTGATGCTAATTTGCATCCTCTGGCACTGGAAACCTGCAGCGAGTAGGAGGCAAGATGGATTCATTGAGATATCAGGAAATCCTAGGAGAAAACGCCATGCCGTCTGTGAGGAAGTTGAAGCTTGGGCATCATTAGTCCTTCCACCAAGACAATGATCCCAAGCATACCTCAAATTACACCAAGGTTTGGTTGCAGAAGAAGTCCTGGAAAATTCTACTGTGGCCATCATAGTCACCTGATTTGAACCTAATAGAAAATCTCTGGTGGGATTTGAAGAAGGCGGCTGCAGCACACAAACCCAAGAACATTACGGAACTGGAGGCCATTGCTCATAAGCAATGGGCTAAGATTCCTCAGGAACACTGTCAGAAGTTGGTTTCTGGTAATGCATCTCATTTGTTTCAGGTCATAACAACACAAGGGTGCTCTACTAAAGTACTAAAGATGCTTGCCATAAAGGGATTGAGTAATTTTGAAACTAGAGAAGGTATTATAAATTGCATATTCAGTGGAATTTGGGGAGACCACTTGAAGCATTCGTCTGTTTGATTTGTTCATTGCAAACAGCTGAAAGTCTGTAAATGTTGTCAATAAACCTAATTTTCCATGGGGGTTGAATCATTTTGATTACAATTGCATATAATATCAGTAAACAACTGTACACCTGTATATTAAAACAAAACACGAGAGGAAAAATTTATTTTCTGGTATGTATGTGTTATAATTATTCTATATGGTGAATTGTGTAGTCATTCACTTATCTCTCTCTCATGCAAGTCCTTGTTTACAATATTAACAAATGCAAATGCTAAAAGCAATCCCAGGTAGCT